GTGTGTGTGTGTGTGTGTGTGTGTGTGTGTGTGTGTGTGTGTGTGTGTGTGTTTGTTGCTCTCCTGGCCATTGGACTTCATATGAGTACCACAGGTTTTTTGGGGCTGAGACAAACATCTCAGCATTGGTGACAGGAGGCCAAAAAGGAACCATGTTGAACCTACGGTTGTGTCCAATAGGGGCATTTTCTCGATGAAATGAAGTTGCTAAATGTGCATTTGTTCATATACCTGGCTGATGCCTGTGAAGTCACTCATCAAAGACTGCATCAGTGAAGGTGTGTAGCAAGACAAAGAATGGATCATTAGGTTGTGAAGAAATTTAGTTAGGTAGGTTAGTACTGATGTTAGAAGCACAACACTATATTCTTAAGGTCTCCTTTTTTAAATATTGATGTTGTTTAATCTATTATGTCTTGATTGAAACAGGTCTAGTTACATGTCTGAAACATTTTTACAACACATAGTAAAACGCTTGAAAGACATTAGATGAGAATTTTGTCTGAATGCCTGTGACTCAGCCGTAGGCCAGTAGGGGGCGAGCGAAGGCATTGAAGAAACTGTATAAAAACATGAGCTTCCGGTTTTATGGGTAGTATGGGTTTCCTGTCTGCAGCGGCAGCAATAAACCTCCACTCAGATTCCAAATTGGTGTTGTGTGGTTTTCATTCCTTCTACAAATCACTTTATTTATTATTTGTGTTTATCATCTTGACTTCAGTTTATTGAATACAAATGTTCTTACAAGGTGACAGGTGAGTCTGTCCACCTGTCCCATTCAGGAAGAGGTGCGCCAGGTTGTGGAGGCTGCGGATGATGGGGTCATACATCCCTTTGGGGGCGCTGTAGCCTACAAAATACAGTAAAATGCAAAGAAAGCTCTGCTTCACCAAAATTAGGAACAACAAATGCTGTCTTGGAGCTAACCATATGTGCATGTGGGTGGAGGACTGAGTAAGAGGGAGTTTTTGGCTTCAGTTAGTATCTATACTTTCACACAGAACTTCAGATGCTTTCTTT